ATCCCTTACCTCGTCATGCCTCATGCATATGAAGCCCCCCTTCTTGCAAACCATGGCGTGATCGCCATCATAGGAATAGCCACACACGCATTGGGAGGGCAAACCATCTACTGGCCAACCGTACCTTAGAGCAATGGCATCTGTAAATTCTTGTTTGTTAAGGCTGAAACCATTTGCCCTTATCGGTAACGTAGTTAACCAGTTCGAGGCGCCCACCTCCTGCGCTATAGCTACTTTTTTTGTCAAATTTTCTGGAACCAGCAGCAATAGTTGCTGCAACATGTCATTTTGGCAGTGCTGCCGATCTGTTGTAATGGACCTACGGATCTTATTAACTTCGCTGGTGTCCACTTCCCCTGTTGCATTCTGGGCTATTATGTGGTCAGTGAGGGCTGCCGTGAGCTTAAGTGAATTTTGATGTTCAGAGTCAGCAATCTCCTCTGGATTAGTTAGTCCCATCCCTCCCAGTCTTGGTGGAAGTGCAAGAAGTGTTCTTTCTACTAGGGTTAAGGCGTGGTGTTTCACTACTACTACTACAACTACTACTACTACTACTACTACTACTACTAATAATAATAATAATAATAATAATAATAATAATAATAACAATAATAATAATAATAAAAATCTACCCTACTGAAAGAAGTACACCTATTCAGTAACCTCAGTTTTATCAGTCAATAAGTAAACAAAATTCAAGTAGAATGTCAGAAAGTCTGGATCATCGTAAAGCACTGGAAATGTGGTCCAAGAGCGTGTTAAGTAGACCAAATGCCGTACATAATCCAAACCATGTAGTGTAGGTCAGTATACTCTACTCTCCTCGTGACCGTCCTGTGGCGGATCAGAAGCCTTCATCACCAGCATCGTCGTACAACTTCTCTCTCTCTCTCTCTCTCTCTCTCTCTCTCTCTCTCTCTCTCTCTCTCTCTCTCTCTCTCTCTCTCTCTCTCTCTCTCTTTCTTTCTGTCTTGCTGTCTCTGTCTCTGTCTCTCGTCACAGCTGCACAAACACTATCACGCACTCATGTTCCCCTGGACGACTCCGTGACCAGCTTATATCTCTAAATCATAAACTCCTACTTCGTCTGTCTCAGTCGGGTGGTCAGTGGCGAGGAGAATAACACGGCAGGAGCAAGGATCACGACAGGGCTGAGGTGACTGGCAACGAGGAAGTGCTCTACATAAGGACAGTACTGATTTATTGGTCGTTATGTGGAAGTTAGTGGGTAAGGCAGTGAACAGGTATAAGACACTGACAGGAGGAACTGCCCTAAGGTAGCGTTATGCTGACAGTAGCAAGTGTGACCCTAGATCAGATACACTAACTATGTATGAAATCCTCTCCTTCCTCAGTGTCCCATTCACAAAGGTTTCCTATTTTTCTATTTATATGCCACAACTTATCGAGGTTGTGAATATTATTATATATTCCACTAAATAACGATAATTAATGGATCAAGCAGAACACCAAAATTCTTATAAATGAATAGCGTCATACAAAACTTAACCTAACCTAACCTAGTCTACTTTAGGTATAATTTGGCTATCTCATGTTGGTAAACGACGCCCTAAATAAAACTGACTAATTGTACCTATGAGGCAAAAACTTAAATTGTGTTTAAAGGCTTAATTGGCGATTATCCCTATTTAGCGTAACATACTGCATATAGACTGTGGAACTTATTTTGTATAATTCTACGTAATAATCTAAAATTGTAAATAAAACCCGCCCCGCCGAACCCTATGGATATTTGAATAGTCGTTCTGTGCGAATTTAACGTGAAATAGGCTAGTTTTCAGGGGTAAATCATGGATTTCTTACAATAATTACTATAATATCTTATTCATTTGTATGAAAATATCAATACTGGTGAGGGTTTACTGCTATTGTAAATAATTAGTCTGATGAAATGTAAGTGGCCATCAGAAAACTTCACTGGATTGAAACGAGTTATGAGAACAACTTTCGTATTGAATTTGTGTGGATTCCGTCCCATGTTGATATTAGGTATCATGACTGTGCTGATAGACTGGCCAATGAGGCATGCAAGAAAGAAAATGTTGACCGTGACCTTGGCCTGTCTAATGCTGTACTTAAAAACATTCAAGTCAGAATCATGAACTCTGATCTAGCATAAGTAAATATGAAAAAAAAAGTGACAAGAGGTACCGGTAGGGTCAGCATAAGGACAGAATCAGACAATGTGGTGTAGTCGTGGCCAGAATTAGGCTAGGATACAGACACATCTTTCAAGTTAGTAACGCTGTACCCATACCGGAACACTCAGCATGCAAACTTTGTGATAAACATTTAAAACATACACTTGAACACTATTTTATTGAATGTGACACTGTCAAAGACTTCAGGCCACCTGGCTTATTGTATCATGATCTTTGTAATTATTACATTGAATCAGGGGTGCTTGAGGACATTCTTGCTGTTTATCCAAAATTTGCGAGCCCACACTGATTAGCCCTCAATTAGAATATGATTTATAATGTACAGTATATGAACAACTCTCCTGCGTGGCAGTGAACAGTGATATCACCCACATGACTCTGACCTATATATATTGCTAATGAATAAGATCTATTTCTTCGTGTATGAACCTCGGTCCTGCGAGGCAGTGAGAAGTGATACCACCCTCAGTGTCAAGACCTGACTGAATTACTCAGAATAGGCAAACTGTACTCCAAGCTTTGTCAATAAATTTGTTAATCAATCAAAATACTACCATTATAAATAATTTGTTTGATGAAATGTATATGGCCATCAGAGAGCTTCACTGGGTTGAAACAAGTTGACTATTCTCTCCATTTATTTTGAATTTGGTAAATTAGTTTATATAAATAAACAAATAATCTATTACCATTTTATTTTAACAATTAATAAGTAACACTAAGCTAAACAAATGTACAGTAAACTAATAAGTTAATTAAGCATGACATCACCAAACGGGGATTGTTTCTCGCGCATTGGTGTCAACACGTTGTCCTGTGGTGTGGGACACAGTCAGAGCTGTATACACACCTATATATATATATATATATATATAGAGAGAGAGAGAGAGAGAGAGAGAGAGAGAGAGAGAGAGAGAGAGAGAGAGAGAGAGAGAGAGAGAGAGAGAGAGAGAGAGAGTATACGTCCTACAAGATTCAAGCAAATGTGTTTATCCTTATACGTAACTTCTGTACCGTTAACGAACCTCAACTCTTCAACGAACAGCTCATTAAACACTCATAAACCCTTCCTGCGCTAAATATCTGAGAGTACTGTTAGGAGAAAGGTGAATTGTAGGATAGGGAGGAGGAGGTCAGCCCTCATTTTACATTAATAAATTAATTATTAATTGTGTGTGTAAATTGTAATTACCACATAGGTGATAAAAAATAAAAATGGAAGGAATTCATTTTGTTTTCGAGTATTATGACAAGATACATTAATGAATATGAAAGTACCTTGTCACATACACTCACTGTTTATTACTACTGAAGGTCGCAATGTTATGACACCCAGAGTGCAATGTGAGCAGGCAGGTGAGCAGGGGCGGAGAGAGGCGGGGAGAGTTAACTTGCCGATACTAAGGAGCGTCACAGCACTTTTATCAGCGTCTCACAGAAGTCATAATGTCACACTCTCTTGGTCTGTCGTTTGTCATCTCTAGCCAGCCACAGCTTGCTCCAGAAAATCATGGTAGTAGCGGAGGTAGTGATAGGGTGTATGTGTAGGGGACCCCTCATAAGTTTCCTCTGGCAAGTCCCAAGAAATGTCTCTGGGGCTATGACTGTTAACACATATCTTATGAATTTCCTAGGATCCAGTGATTCTCTTCACCTGGTATGTCCTAATTTAGTGTTTGCCAGCTGCTCTGATGGCTTTAACCACTGACGGGGCCTAGATAGATGAGATAGTGTATATATACCCAGTAATAAGAAAAAGTGAGAATTAAAAGAAAAAAAAAAGATGAAATACGTAAATCCCTTCATCTTGATCTGAAAAACTATATACATGTAGAAATTATGTGTGAAAGAAAATAAATTGATCGAGTTAAAGATTTTAATTCCAAATTATATAAAGAAATGGTAAGATGACATATTGTGGAATATATTGAGATAAACAAAAATATGACGTGAAAAATAAATCATCACAGAAGTACAATAATTACTTTGTGACATGAAAGATTACAGCGTGAGGTTTATTTGTTATAAATTCAGTAATAAGAAATATATATATATATATATATATATATATATATATATATATATATATATATATATATATATATATATATATATATATATATATATATATATATATATACTGTATACGTATATATAAATAATTAACACTTTAGGGCCCAGATTGAATGATCGTAATACCAACTTAAAGACCAAACAGTCACATAATATATAAGGATATGAAAACAGAAGTTAAAATGTACACAATATACGTTGTTATATGATTATATGAACTACGCACTGAGAAAGTTAATACAATTCTCAACAATAAAATCTGAAACATTATGTGCAGTCGTACTGTAGTTGAGAGTTTGGTCTCCTAGAACATTCTCATGAACTTGAATGGCCGGAGTGACCCCTAAATAGACCACAGTGAAGTTTAATTATTCTCTTGTATTTGGGGATAATTGTGACTGTGGGATAAACAACAGCTCCAATATATGGATAAATAGCAACGAATAGAATCACATAAATAAATTACAAGTACATTGAGATAAAAAATAAACTGAATAACAAACCATTGAGTTATTTATTACTAACCTTTACTTTAATTTAACCATACAGAGAAAAAACACTAAATTAACAAAAGATTAGATCCTACATGTGACTACACAAAGATAAGCACATATGTTACAAGAATCAAGAGCAAAACATACCCGTTAAAACCAAAGTAATTAAGTGGTGGAGTCGGAGTGCCCAGTGCTGTTGATAAAACTCCTCTTTTCTTTAAATCTGTTGACCACATTCTCCCACTTATCTTAGAAATAAACGTCAAGAAGTCTGGGAACACCTTTTTAACGTCAGTTATAAAGAAAACTCCTGCGTATAAAGTTTTAACCACAAAATTCCAGTCCTTCACTCCTGTCCAATACAAAACAGAAATAATCGAATATCCACCTTAGTCAATAGGGTTTACAATATCTGTTCAGATTGCTGTAAATTACATCTTGAATTACAGTTCTTAACGAAACTGTGGTCATCACACGATACCCACCACCCAGATAGCTCAGTAAGTATCCTCCCTCAGCAAGTGCGGACCCCGGTTCGGGGGACGCGCCACACCAACGTTCACTGACCGAGGGTCCGCTCATACTTGCAACATGCAGTATCCTTTCATATCTGCAGGTAGGACAACCTCCAATCCCAAATCCGGTCTGGCTGCTCCAGGAGTTCCAGCCGGAACCACCAAACGGGCCGCCTACAGGAAAAGGCTCGTGACGGACTACGGTCCAACAATCTCAACAACAACAACAATCCTCACCACTCGCCCCGACGACATGACATGGGTCACAGCGGAGTCGCTCCTCACCCACCGAGTACAGCCAGTACAGGACACTGATCACGACTCCTCTACTTCATTACTTTGTCTTTAACGGAAAGGTTTTTTTCTTTCTTGTTGTATCATATGTGCTTATCTTTGTATGGTCACTTTTGTTAGTTTAAGTGTTTTGCTCTGTATGGTTAAAATGAAGTAAAGGTTAATAATAATTAATAACTCAATGGTTTGTTTTTCAGGGTATTTATTGATTTCAAAATACTAAGATAAATGTTGCTGTTTTTTCGCTTAAGAAAGTATCGAGACTATGAACACTCTTCTTCTTTTATATCTTTGAATTTTCCCAAAATCTCACCAGCGACGCTTATTTATACTTTAGGACCAGGAACGATCCATATGGTGTAGTGGGTGTTGCTAATTGTTTAAGGCTTCAATATTCTTATATTTGTTTGTTTGTTTGTTGCAGAAAATCCAATTTTCTAAGTCTTTAATATAAATTTCTCGCTCAGATGTAACCATTGTGGTGTTGACGACGTGCACCGCCACGTTCTGGGACTAAAAAATTGCAGCTCTTGTAAATGTCGGGAATTGCTTCATAAAATTTAATTTCGTTTCTTAAATTTATATATATTATTTAATTTTTGTATGCTGGTTTAAGAACTCAGATGGTGGGACTGATGACAAAATAGAGTTTAACAAAATAACTTCAAAAATACTTTCATGTATATTTAGAATTTTAATTTGCTGAAAATTAGACAAAAGTAATCTTTGAACATACTTTTAAAGGATTTGTGGCTGAGGGTTTATATCTTTTGAAAATAATCTTTCCATTTGTTCAACTTTTTTTATTTTATGTGTTAATTATTCCGCTGGTGGTTTTTATGGCGATTTTTTTTGCCTCACATTTTAGATTTGAAGATTCAAAGAAGCAGTTTTGATTTATTTATTGATTCATTACAAAAAATGGCCGAAAAATTTCTTTGTATACATTGGTAATTTCTGTAGTTTTTAATTATTTTAAATGTAATCAAAACATCTCCAACTGTATTTTAAGGTAGTGTATCATTCATCCTTACATACGATGTCGGTTTTACACAGCTAAAATAAAATGGTAGTGAGTAAACAAGAATATTTTCACGATTCTACTTCTGTGAGTAAACTTGTACATGATAAATAGTATTGTGGGTCTATGGTTGGCTGGGTACAGTGGTGCTGACAAACACTAAACTCTTACAGGCGGGAGTGTATTCTAGTGCTTCAGTTCCTTGTACATGGTGAGGTAATTCGGATGAATTTTGGTCGAGTCGCTTCATTGTAGTTAGGGATTCTTTGTCCTGGTGAGGATATCAGGCGGCTCTACACGGGCGGAAGATAACCAGTGGAAGGGACATTGACCACACCACCGCCATCGTAGCCTCCATCGCCGTGACCTCTGTTGCCGTGACCTTTGTTGTCGTGACCTCTGTTGCCACCATAGCCCCCGTCACTGTGACCTCTGTTGCCGTGACCTCTCTTGCCGTGGCCTCTGTTGCCGCCGTAGCTTCCATCCCCGTGACCTCTGTTGCCGCTGTAGCTTCCATCGCCGTGACCTCTGTTGCTGTGACCTGTGTCGCCGTGACCTCTGTTGCCACCGTAGCCTCCGTCGCCATGACCTCTGTTGCCGTGACCTCTGTTGTCGTGACCTCTGTTGCTGTGACCTGTTGTTGCCGCCGTAGCTTCCGTCTCCATGACCTATGTCGCCGTGACCTCTGTTGCCGCCGTAGCTTCCGTCGCCGTGACCTCTGTTGTCATGACCTATGTCGCCGTGACCTCTGTTGCCACCGTAGCCTCCGTCGCCTTGACCTCTGTTGCCGTGACCTCTGTTGCTGTGACCTCTGTTGCCGCCGTAGCTTCCGTCTCCATGACCTATGTCGCCGTGACCTCTGTTGCCGCCGTAGCTTCCGTCGCCGTGACCTCTGTTGCCACCGTAGCCTCCATCATCGTGACCTCTGTTGCCACCGTAGCCTCCGTCGTCGTGACCTCTGTTGCTTTCGTAGCCTCCGCCCCCGCTAAAGCCTCCACTGCTGCCGTATCCTTCGCCGCCACCATTGTAGCCTCCGCCGCCGTAGACTCCGCCACCTCCGTCGCCGTAGCCTCCACCACCTCCGTCACCGTAGCCTCCACCACCTTCGCCGCTGTAGCCTCCGCCGCCGTAGCCTCCACTACTGTCGAAAAAGACTCCTTGGACACCGTTGGCATAGACTCCACCGCCGCCGTAGCCTCCGCTGCCTCCACTGTAGCCTCCGCTGCCTCCACCGTAGCCTCTACTGCCGCCGTAACCACCACTATTGAAAAAGACTCTCTGCCCACCGTTGTCATAGACTCCACCTCTGCCGTAGCCTCCACCGCCGTTGTAATCTCCACCACTGTTGAAAAAGACTCCCTGGCCACTGTCGAATAAGACTCCTAGGCCACTGTCATAGCCTCCACCCCTGTTAATGAAGCTTCCTGAACCTACAGTGCTGTATGAGTTCACGTTGTTGAACCCTCCGACAGGATGGCCCTGAAAGTAGCCACTATACCCACCACCACCGCCTGGGATACCGAAGTCCACGGCTATTACTCCACCACCAACACCGTCGTAGCCTCCGTTGACGCTCTGGCCTCTGATGCTACGACCTGTGTTACAGTTGTTGCCGTGGCACGCGGAGGACGTTGATTCCACCAGCAGGACAGAAACCAGGGCGACTGTGAGCTGATGGTAAGGAAAGGTTGCACTTTAAGGTGACATTTAAGGTAACATTATACACACACACACACACACACACACACACACACACACACACACATATATATATATATATATATATATATATATATATATATATATATATATATATATATATATATATATATATATATATATATATATATATATATATATATATATATATATATATATATATATATATATATATATATATATATATATATATATATATATATATATATATATATATATATATATATATATATATATATATATATATATATATATATATAGATTACCAGGGTAAATGATTGCATTCTCACATAACTGTGTGAACTATTAAGAGAAATATTACCAGGGGAGTGCCATTATAGTCAATCTAGATTTATCTTTTATCTTGTGGGAAAAAGTGTTAAATTTGATGATTGATTTACCCATCTTCGAAAAGTAGTTATGCGCTGTAGGTTGGTGGACTATAGTGAGATAGTAGAAGGTTCATATAGGACTTAAGTGAAAAGAATGTCGGAGTTAAATGATCAATGATACTGACTATAGGGATCCTGCAGGGTTTAGGAGTGACAAGATATAGCATGGGCTTGTCTTTCCTCTGATGGTGTAAAACCGGCGATGGACCTTAGGTACAGCAGTAGTTATGAATATTTTGTGGTGTTTTCATTGACAATAAATATTATTTTATCTAATAGTGATGAGCCGAATTGTCGAGCGTCAGAATGGAAGGTGTAATAAAATAACACTAAATGGTGGAATAGTATAGATGAAAACGAATTTGTTGATATTAAAAGTTTATAGTAATACAGATGAAATGCTCATATCGGACAGGTATTTTGAGACATATCGGAGAAGGAACACTCACCATTTTGATCGTCCTAAGATACTGACATCATCTCCCTTGTTCATCCTTTTTTATATGCACAGCTTCTGGCTCTCAGGGCCACGTGACCATGCCGTAGAGGATTGCGTGGTCCACTACTTCCTGGTGAGGGAGGATAAATACTGTACATCCTGTGATAGATGACACGAGGGACTAGGAAGCAAATCAGCATACGTTCACAAGGTTTTGAGTGTGTGTGTATGTGTGTGTGTGTGTGTCGGTGTGTGTGTATGTGTGTGTGTGTGTGTGTTAAATATTTGTTCTCCTTTATATCACTCACAAACATCACTCTTATCTACTCTTCCTTGCACATCTAATATTACTTTTTTTATTTGGTAAAATTATAATATTTATTTTCTTGTTGATCTGTTCGTTTATCTTGATGTTCACACCTTCCAGAGATCCCCTGCGAGGGGAAGTTACTGATGTTGAGTCAAGACTCTTGCTAGAAACACGTAAACATGCTTGAGGGAATCTCTGGTAGTGCTCTTTTTAGCGCTGATGGATGCCTTTTTCGTCATTAATTAGGGAGTTACCGTCGGATGAGCGGAAGGGGAGCCACGACATGAGTAAGTGGGCCATGTATTGTTTTGGTGGAATGGAAACATTCACGCATTTTGTGTTGATCTACGTCTTTTGTTTTTTTTTGCATTTGCATTTTCCCACCATTTGTTTATTAGTTTGCAAAGTTGGCGCTGGGTAGCCGCTTTCTTCTCGTTGAAAGTATCAGGTTTCGTCCGAGATTTAGGGCTGTGCTGCCAGTCTGGGAATGCAGCACGTTTATTATTGACCGGTACTTCGATTTCCGGGTTGTTTTAATTAAACTAATTCTGGTGTTTTCTTTTGACCTGGCCGAGAGTCTCTCTGCAAGTTTTTGTGAGGTCAACTTTGATGGGACCCCATTCGGCAGTCGGATTTTGGTTGTTTGTTGTTGGGCTATTTATCAGCCCATGAGCTACCGCTGGAACCTCCATTTGTTTGGTATTAAAGCCTCTTCTGGATGCTTGTTGCCTTCGCTGTTTTGGGGCAATGTGAAGGAGAGTTTGGTTCTGGTGAGCCAATGGTCAGTGTCGCAGTGGTCTGAGCCACGCATGGCTCGGGTGATGGGAACATCTTGGCGGTCTCTTTCTCTGACAATGATGTAGTCAAGGATATGTTAATGTTTAGATCGTGGGTGTCGCCAACTACCCTTGAACTTGTCGGCCTGCCTAAGCACACACACACACACACACGCAGGTCGCCTCGCATCTATTATCATCAGCAGCAGTACAGTGCTTCATGGCACTCCTTGCAGTACTCTGTATTCATTGAAGAAGTGAGTAACCACAAAATCAGTTAGATGTTCTCGCGTTTCTGCGTCTTAGTAGTTCTGCATGTGCTCCGATTAAGCCTATAACTCAATGGCTATTCATTTGTAAAGGGTAAAATTTGCTCTGTTTCATTTAAGGCTTCATTTACTATCATAATACAGTAATATTATACCGAAGGTAGGTAAAGTTAGCACTCCGGGCGGCTCATTCGCTAGGCCACAGTAGGACACCACCCTCGTGGAGGCTCCACATTGTCTCGCTATTCAGTCCCCAAAACTTCTTCTTCCATCAATAGTTCATTAATGGTGTATGTCAGTTGCACCATGCTTTTCACTACAACGGTACAGCAAAGTATATTTTTTTAGCATTAAACTGTTATTATTTTATTGTCTAATCATCACTACATATAACATCATCCATCATCACTACATATATCACCATCCATCATCACTACAGATCGGTAAAGTAGTTTCCGAGATTCTCGTGCGGACACACATACACACAAACACATAAACACACACACACACATATATATATATATATATATATATATATATATATATATATATATATATATATATATATATATATATATATATATATATATATATATATATATATATATATATATATATATATACATATATATATATATATATATATATATATATATATATATATATATATATATATATATATATATATATATATATATATATATATACATATATATATATATATATATATATATATATATATATATATATATATATATATATATATTTCATTAGCCCAACAGGCCAAGTAGGTAGCATTCCCTGGTCACAGTCATGGCTCGTGGGCCGTGGGTTCGAATCCTGGCGGGTTGAGGTGTTGATTGTATATATATATATGTATATATATATATATATATATATATATACATATATATATATATATATATATATATATATATATATATATATATATATATATATATATATATATATATATATATCTACTTGCAGGGTGTCCGTAAAGTCCTGATACAGTTTAAATTATTAATAACTTAGGTTCTATAGCTAATAAAAACAATCTGTAAAATACATTGGAGAGGTAATTTATTCATGTCTTAGCATCTTTAATCTTAGAATTGCTAGGATTCAACATATCCACCATCATTACGCATACAAGGCATACTACGATTTTGAAGGCCCACGAAAACGTTTTGCAGTTGTGTTTCAGTTATAGCATTGTTGTCATCAGTTAACCTACCACGAAGATCGTCTAAATAACAAGGTTTCTCATGAGTAAACTACAGTTTTATTAAGTTACCATAGCAAAAGTCCAATGGGGACAAATCCGGTGAGCAAGCTGGCCATGAGATTGCCCCACCTCTTCCGATCCATCTATCGTGAAAACTTCGTTTAAAACTGTTAGGTCAGGTTAGGTTAGGTTAGGTTTGGTTTGGTTAGGTTAGGTTAGGTTAGGTTTGGTTAGGTTAGGTCAGGTTAGGTTAGTTTATGTCAGGTTAGATTAGGTTAGTTTAGGTTAGGTAAGCTTAGGTTAGGTTAATTTAGGTTAAGTTAGTTTAGTTTAGGTTAGTTTAGGTTACGTTAAGTTACGTTACGTTACGGTAGTCTATGTTAGGTTATGTTACGTTACGTTAGTTCATGTTAGGTTAGGTTAGGTCAGGCCAGGCCAGTTAAAATTTTCTTCTTAAAATATATACATAGATGTTATTCCTATTAGACAGTTGTCCACGTGTAGGAGATACTGTATGGACAATTTCATATCATTTGCGGTACCTGGGTAGAGTAGATAAAGCATTCATCTCATGTTGTAAGGGTCACTGGCTACTACTCGTGGCACTCACAGTCTGGCCAGCTGTGATGGTTACCTCATGTTATAAAAGTGGAAGTGGAGGCGGAAGAGTTCTGTGCCGCCCACTTGTTCTTCTGTGTACAAGAACTTAGTTTAGTTAGTTTAACAAATTTATTGACAAATCTTAGAGTACAGTTTGCCTATTCTGAGTAATTCAGTCAGGTCTTGACACTGAGGGTTCTACCACTTCTAACTGCCACGCAGTACAGAGGTTCATACATAAAGAAATATTCATATTCATTAACAGCATATATATATATATATATATATATATATATATATATATATATATATATATATATATATATATATATATATATATATATATATATATTGGACGTCATATTCTAATTGAAGACTAATTAGTGTGGGCTAACAAATTTGGGATGAGCAGCAAGAATGTCCCCAAGCACCAATGATTCAATATAGTAATTACAAAGTTCATGATACAATAAGCCAGGTGGCCTGAAGTCTTTGACAGTGTCACATTCAATAATATAGTGTTCAAGTGTATGCTTTAAAAGTTTATCACAAAGTTTACAGCTGAGTGTTCCGGTATGGGTACAGCGTTACTAACTTGCCAGATGTGTCTGTATCCTAGCCTAATTCTGGCCACGACTATATCACATTGTCTGGTTCTGTCCTTATGCTGGCCATACCGGTACCTCTCGTCACAAAATTTGGCATATTTACTAATGCTACAACTGCCAGGTCTCTGCATTTCTCAGTTCTTCTAGATCAGAGTTCATAATTTTCACTTGAATGTTTTTAAGTGCAGCATTGGACAGGCCAAGGTCACGGTCAACATTTTCTTTCTTACTTGTCTCATTGGTCAGTCTATCAGCACGGTCATGATATTTAATTCCAACAAATTCGATACGAGAGTTGTTCTAATTGGCAGTTATCATATTTCTTTTAATATCACATACAACTTTAGACAAAGAACCTGACGGGCTGTTCATTGATTTCAAAGCACTTTGAGAGTCACAGAATATCACCCCACCTCCATTTTCTTTAAGGTAGTCTGTAGTTAAGTAGATTCCAGTTAGTTCAGTTTGTGTTGTGCTGGCCCAGTTATTCAGCCTTTGCTTGTTTGACACTATCATCTCTTTTTCTTTATATATTACAATTGCACAGCCTGTTCTACCTGTGTTTGTCTGCACAGAACCATCAGTAAAGCATAACATTCACTTGATTTAATACTCTCTGTGTCTGTTAATAGTTGATAGTGTGACACATCTCATCACATCGGTGTTTAACATTTGCTTACTACCAACAGAAGTGTAATTAATAGGAACTGATATATCCAGCCAAGGAGGAATGGCATTAATGGGTTCGTCTGGGGTGATTGGGACATTCAGTTTCAAGAGATCTGCAACGCTTTAATGAAGCCACGCCCCAAAGAGAATCTTTTGTGGAAAGTTAGCGAGATAGTCGAGATTACTTAGATAGAACATCAACTCAGTTTGAGCTGTAGTTTAGGGACCATTGTTCATCAAAACTTTGACACAAAACTTGATATTAAGTACAGCTATCCTCTCAGATAGGGAGGGCAGCCTGAGCTCTTTCCTCATGTTATCAATTCTGGTTGATTTTGGGCATCCTAAAATACTGCGCATTGCTTCGTTTTGCACTATCTCAAGGCGTTGAGTTGTTTAGGCGGAATAGTCACAAGATGGAGAACATGATAGTCAACTACAGAACGAATGAAGTGAAGATAGAAAGTACGAGCATAGTTGATGTTAATTCCATAGCCCTTGCCAACAAGGGTTTTGAGGGGTTTAATGCGCTGCACTAGTTTGGCACGAAGGTTGCCGACAAAGTTTGCATCATTCACACAAATTCCAAGATATTTATAAGAGCTACATAGCTCCAAGGGCATGCTGTTAATGTTAAAGTCAAGAGGCAGAGGGTGAGCAGGATGAGGATTGAGGACCCTCGTCTTGTCAACAGATATTATGAGACCACATTCCACAGTCCTCCGAGCAAATACATCCAGCAAGGCTTGGAGCCTGAGCTTGGTCTGTGTCATAATGCAGATATCATCAGCATATTATATTTCAGTCTCGTTTGGCTGAAGTGGAATGTCAGCAATAAGCTTGTGCATCAGTATATTAAAGAACATAGGACTTAACACTCCTCCCTGAGGCATGCCAAGCTCAAATGATCTCATTCTGGTACTTTTGACTCCCCTAAACAGAACACTGGCAGACCTATTGGACAGATAACCCTTCATCCATGTCAGGAAGTAACCTTGGATGCCAAAATTAGCTATGTGCTCAAGTATAATGTCTCTATTATCGACATCAAAGGCTTATTTAAAGTCTATGAAGGCTGTTTGTGTCTTATCTTTTGAGTGAACAAGATATTCTGCAAAGCATGTCTGTGTGCTGTGCCCGGGCATGGACCCATACAGAATAGGGGCCAGTTTGCCTTTGACTTGAAACATGAGACGGTTGAGAACAACTCTTTCAAGGACCTTACACATACAGGATGCGAGTGAAATGGGCCTGAAGTTTGGAGAATTAGCTTTAGGGATTGATACTATGTTTCCGTGAGTCCATGTCTTAGGCAGAACACCCTGTGTGAGGCCCATTTGACACTTGTCAAGCAGTGGATGGTTAGGGATCTCATTTAACAATCTCAGGGTGTTATAGGTTATGCCATCCTCACCAGGGGAGGATGATTCACCTTTTATTAGTGCTGTTGTTAGTTCGTGGTGCGTTATAGGAAACTGGTCGATAAGGTCTGGTGAGGAACAGGCTATTTCAACATTGAAACCCCTATTAATGTGAGTGATTCTAAGATATTGTTGTATGTCAGGAGGCAGGGAAGTGATTTGTGACACACTAGACCATTGGTCTAATAGCATGTCAGCATATTCTGCAGGGCTGTGATGAAGTTGGACTGGGGTGGGTGACTTGGTAATGGATCTAATTTCGTTCCACATTTCTACTAGAGTGGTTGTTCTATTAATCCCCTGTAAAAATTGTTCCCAATAGGTGTTTCTCACCTGACCTTTGAGTTCACGAAATGCTCTGTTATCTTTGAGGAATTCCAGGAGGTTATTACTAGTTTTATTTTGCTTCTAAGTGTTGGCAAGCTGTTCTACCTTCTCTCCTTCTTTGGTGAGGATGGGGTCATGTGTCCACAGAGGTGGTTTAGTGCTGCCCCCCTTTCTCCTTGACTTAACCCAGGTGGTATAATATGTGGTAATGACATTTTCAAGATCACAGCAAAATTCAACCACTGACCATCCAGCATACCATCTGTGGATGTAGACCTTGAAGTGCAGTTTAAGATTATCTGGGATGTTAATTCTGAGCTTAGGATGGAGTTCACATTTGACATCAGCAACAGTGTATTCAGTAAGTATTACATAATGAACACTGACTAGGTGGTCTGAGATGACCTTAACCTTGAAATTACTGTCTACTAGGTGATACCAATTACATAATCAAGTCTGCCCCCCATCAGATGTGTCATTTTGTCTTTGTCGGTTACATTGGTATTATGATTATTGATGTAATTCACGAACACCCTCCCATTAGAGTTACACTGGACATCACCGAGAACAGTGTGACGAGAGTTAAAGTCACCCATACACAGCATAGTATTGTTACCTGATGGCTTTGGTAACACGTCCGCTCGCAGCTCATTACACCGAACATAGATGTTATACATCGAAAATTGACTGTTTGATGTTTTTCTGTAAATTGTTGATAGTGTTACGAGTTGGGGATTTAGAATATAGTTAAAAGTCTACCCAGATCCCAACAGGCTACAACAATAAAAAAACAAAGACAATCGGACTATAAAAGGGTAGACAAAGGATGCGAGTTTTTGTTGTGTATAATAAAGTACCATAAATTCCTTAACAAAATATTCAGCTTCTTATAAATTACCCTTAACCATACTTAACCAAAACATACGCAACATTGGCTTTACAGTATATACATATATACAACATTCGGAAGCAAGTGGACGTGGGGAGGCAATATAAGATTACAAAATACTCAAGTGCAGTGCTGAGATGGCTGACGAGTAAGGCTTAGTATTGAAGAAGATGGTAGGTAGTCACTGTGCCGTAGGTTTCCAGGATACGTGATCCTAGTGTGGTCACTTCTCAGAGTGAACTGAACTGTCCTCGATCTGGAGCTGATGAGGAAGACTTGGAGGAGGTGACGCAACAACCAGGATATGGAGAAGGGAAACCCCGGAGTGGTGACCAAGAATAGTCATACTCGGGTTTCGTCCCTAGATGGCGTTGCTCGTGGTGCTGGGTAGGTAGATCATGACAATTGATGGCGTGGTTCGTAACAATAGTAAATACTTTCATCATTGTGAGTTTTGATCCATTTACAGACCAGACCATTATTTACATAAGTGAGCAGGCCACTTCCTGCCCCACTATTGTATGCTGTAAACCCAGCTATCCTGGTTGTAGCTTTCTTCTGGGTGCTGGACGTGTAAGGTTCCTATAAACCAATAACTTCAATATTAAAAACTTTAACAAACCATTGTAGGTCATTAATTTTGCGGTTAACACTCCGGATGTTTCATGAAATGAACCTAATCGCTCTTGTTATTCGCTCCACCTTGAACTTTGTATAGAGAGTCGCGCGTTGGCTTCATAGATCAACCTGACCAATAAGTTAACCGTTTCAAATTCATCACACCTGGAGTTCTTGATAATGCGCCTCACAGCCTTTATTCCAGTAGGATTTTTATACACTGGTTCCTTCATTAGCCCTGCGAATTCCTCCTCCGTAAATATTGGAAGAAGTACAGGGTTATGGACAGTTTTCAGACCTGGGTTTATTAAAGAGACCAGAAGTTAGTGTTGAGTGTATTCAGTGTTTACTCTATACGCACTACTGTTCATTGCGGGTTCTATGGCCTAGAGAGAGAGAGAGAGAGAGAGAGAGAGAGAGAGAGAGAGAGAGAGAGCATATTTCTTTCCCCAAAATACATATACAAAACTTCCCTATTTCTTTAATTTTTTCTTAACTTCTTAAACGTATCGTGAGTTTTTCTCTATTAATATATCCATAAATTACTTTATAAATACACAAGAAAACTCTCAACAACAAAGTTTATCTTGGACCTCTTCATTATCACACCTTAACGTAGTAGGGATAGGCAGCGACCAAACAGGGAGGTACTACCGTCTGGGAAGATATTGGAAGCAACATGAAAATTGTGACCAAGTCCCAGGTTGTTGATCTAACTTTCTGCCTCATTTACACGCAATTGTAGGGTCTCAATTGTTTCTCTTAATTTTAACAACACAACAAATATATTGTTTCTCACTTTTGATCTTTTTTTAAATTTTTTTATTTCTTTATGGTTCTGTATTATTAGTATTATTATTATTATTATTACAGTTTTATTATCTTTATTATTTTATTTTTAATTTTGTATTTTTTATTAAAATTTTTATTTGCTATTGATTATTATTAGCAGTAGTATTACATTTTCGCCCCCCAGGCCCCGATGTGGGTCAGTGACCTGTGCCCGGGTGGGCTAATCCCATAAATAAAAATAAAATATAAAAAGAATATAAAAAAGTCCTGGTAAAATTACCGTTTCCTTTATGGTGCAACTATTTCCTTTTTATAGTCCCATAGTCTATATTCAACACAGAAAAGTTTGTAAACATTGATCAATATTTTTTATGTCTTGAATGTACCGCATCCTACACCAGCCATGCCGATATGAACATGTTATGGTTTCATGTGTAGTATAATTACTACTAGGACAAATATCAGTAGAATTTATGTTGATACTCCTGCAATTATTATTATTATTATCTTCATTAACTCTATTGCTATTAGTAGTAGAAGTACTAGCAGTAGTGCTATTATTAATGCTATTATCATTATTGGTATCATTTTCATGTATGTTATTTCTCTTAAGATTATCATAATTATTATAATCATTCTATCCGAATTTTCTTTAATTTTCGAATCATGATTCAAAACACCTAAGGTTGGACAGTGGAAGAACACAAGACAATTATTTTCTTTACTCATACATATACATAGGTAAAGTTTACTTGTACAGAGCCGCAAATCATACAGGTGTTTGTAAAGTCTTTCGTTTTATCAAATTCTCGATTCGGTTTCCAGAGTTTTAATGTTTCGGGTTTACTCTTCCGTGGTAGTGTCGTGTTTGGGTCCGCCTTGGGACTTTCCTCTTTGGGCAAGTCTTATTGGACGAGGGCTGCTCCCGAATGAAACTCCTCTTACAGGAGTACCGCTGCTGATGGTTACACCGCCCGGGGCACCACTACTATGGGAGAACCCAATAGGAGTACCTCTGTTGTCCGAGAAACTACCCTGAGTACGTCTGTTGTGGGAACTAAAAGTAGGAGGAGAGACTGTAGAATGTGACACGCTGACAGGATTACCGCTGTTGTGAGACACACCTACGGGGAAACCACCCACAGCGACGCCCGCGCTACTGAATCCAGCAGGAACACCTCCTGTATGGACTCTGTTCGCAGGAACACCACCTATGCTTTCGAAGGTACTGACAGGAATCCCCCTGTGAATAGATGCCACAGGAAATCCTCCACTTAAAGTACCTGTGGAGCCATGAGAGTTGAAGCTGCTAGGAGCGAAGGAGTCGCCTCCGTTAGTGAATCCATTGTTATTACTATTGAAAGGAACTGCGGTATGTCTATCTGTGTTGAATCCGAGGCTATTGAAGCCGTTTGCGCCGTTGAAACCAAATGGACTAACAAAGTTACCTTGGCTACCAAAAGTGTTTGGGTTAACGAAGCCACCTTGACTACCAAAAGTGTTTGGGTTAACGAAGCCACCTCGGTTACCAAAAGAATTTGGGTTTAGAACGCTACCTTGGATACCAAAAGTGTTTGGGTTAACAAAAACACCTTGACTACCAAAAGAATTTGGGTTTACAAAGCCACTTTGACTACCAAAAGAATTTGGGTTAAAAAAGCCAGCGTGACCTCCAAAATTGTTTGGGTTAACAAAAACACCTTGGTTACCAAATGTGTTTGGGTTTACAAAGCCGCCTTGGCTACCAAAAGTGCTTGGATTAATAAAGCCGCCTTGAGGTGCAAACCCGACCAAAGCAGGAAAGTCGTTGGTTTTAACGAAGACAGGTTGTGGAGAAAACTCAAATGGGAGAGGGGAGGTCCCTAAGCCACTAAAGAGGTGGGGAGAAGGTCCAGAAGAGCTGCCCTTATCATCGTTGGTGTCGTCTGGGTGGTTGACGGAGGCAAGGCCATGGTTGAAGGTCCCTGGGCGACGCTGGCCGATGAGATTTCCTCCTCTTCTTGGTCCTTTGTCTCCTTGGGCGTCTACACCGACCTGGGACTCCCCAGCCGTCGACCCCAACAGGAGAATCAGCACAAGGGCGGAGGTGACGTTCTGCTGGAAGTCAACCATCACAGTTAATGCATGGATACACACATATCGTCAAGGTTGCAACGGCCCGTCAGGTTATTGAGGAAATTTAGTTTGGTTGTTGCAAGATTTTTTATTATAAGAAAATCATAAAGAAGTGCACAACAGTGGAAAGCTTGTGAGGTTGCAAAGAGAGGAAGCTGGAAAGGAGTATGTTGTGGAAGAAGGAGAAGGAGGAGGTGCTGTTTTAGTAATCATTTGACGACCCATTATGCATATACTTTAAGATACTATAGGGTAGGTTTGGTTAGGTTAAGTTAGGTTAATAAATATTCGGAAACTCCTCAGCATTGGTAACGAAATATTTATCTACAGTTGTCCACAAGATTATCAGAAGTAAGAATTACAACTTAAAGAGCCATCATCACTAAGCACTTATACCTGGTACAGCGGCTGGTGCATTTTGTGAGATGTGATATCTGTGTTTGTTTACTTCATATTAAAACTCACGGAATGGCCCTAAGGAGTCTCACAATGGTAACCATACTAAGGATGCTAGATAAAAATTCCACAGAGTTGCCACTTCTCACAAAGAGTGCCAGCCACTGTAATAGGTATAAGTGGAGGCAACTGTACCATGATGTGTCTTATATCTAGATTGCTATCAATTATGCCATGGTAACAATTGGGTGTGGATGATAGTGATATAATTATATTACTGAATGTTATATGGTTATCAGCATAAATATATATATGCTGATAACCACAAGGAAGGAAGAAAACACGAAGTTCCCAAGCGCTTTCGTGTAATTCACATCTTCAGGGGTGAGTACAGACTAAAGAGAAGTACAAAACAAGGTGTATATATACAGAGGAGGGTGAGTCCAGGTCCACAATGGTCAGGTATTAGGTAATGACCCTACTAATCTTTAAATAGCACGGCAACGGTCGGTAGTCAGGTCAGAGGGTAAGGTGACCAAACCTTCTCACCTGGTTACAAATCTTCTTAATTACAAAATTGTCCAGTTTGTACATGCCATTACTCAAATTCATGTTGAATGCTTCGGTATGTTTAATGAGACTAGATTCTATGATGTTCCTACTATCAATTGAATTACAAGGTAATATTGAGGAGGCATTATCCCAGTCAATGCAATGCTTGTTATCCCTCAAATGAACAAACAGAGCATTGGATTCCTGGCCTGTCCTAACACTATATTTATGTTGTTTAAGTCTGGTTACAAGATCTTTACCTGTCTGGCCTAAGTAAAACATATTACAATCCTTGCAAGGAACTTTATAAATGCAACCAATTGTGTTGTTGGGGGAGTTCTTGATTAACATTTGTTTAACAGTGCATGAGTTTTTAAATGCCACATTGACGTTCCAGGTTTTTAGTTGTAAAGGAATGTGTGAGAAATTTTTGTGAAATGGTAATATTAAGATATTCTTATGGTCATGGGTGGGCTTGGGATCAGTTCTATAAAAAGTTTTCTTAGTAATGTTTAGGCATTTGTCTATGAAAGATCTAGGGTAAACATCTTGTAACCAGACTTAAACAACATAAATATAGTGTTAGGACAGGCCAGGAATCCAATGCTCTGTTTGTTCATTTGAGGGATAACAAGCAATGCATTGACTGGGATAATGCCTCCTCAATATTACCATGTAATTCAATTGATAGTAGGAACATCATAGAATCTAGTCTCATTAAACATACCGAAGCATTCAACATGAATTTGAGTAATGGCATGTACAAACTGGACAACTTTGTAATTAAGAAGATTTGTAACCAGGTGAGAAGGTTGGGTCACCTTACCCTCTGACCTTACTACCGACCGTTGCCGTGCTATTTAAAGATTAGTAGGGTCATTAACTAATACCTGACCATTGTGGACCTGGTCTCACCCTCCTCTGTATATATACACCTTGTTTTGTACTTCTCTTTAGTCTGTACTCACCCCTGAAGATGTGAATTACATGAAAGCGCTTGGGAACTTCGTGTTTTCTTCCTTCCTTGTGGTTATCAGCATATACCTAGATCACGCGCACCTACAGTGATTTACTTGCATATATATATATATATATATATATATATATATATATATATATATATATATATATATATATATATATATATATATATATATATATATATATATATATATATATATATATATATATATATATATATATATATATATATATATATATATATATATATATATATATATATATATATATTTCATATAGATCCACAATGAAAACGTGGATAAGATAAATCTTGATAAAATCAAACGGGAAGAGAGAAACAACGGAGCACCTTAGCTTTCGTCTTTATTCAAGACATCTTCAGAGGCAACTGAATTACAAGGACCGAGAGAGGCTTAAGTACACAGGATGACCTTACTAAACATGAGATCAGGTCATAAATACGACATCCACTAATCAGCACACCAACACTACCACACACGCATAGGTAATTAAAGGAGCCTCTGAAGATTTCTTGAATAAAGACGAAAGCTGAGGTGCTCCTTTGTTTACCTTTTCCCTGTGTGATTTTATCAAGATTTATGTTATCCACTTTTTCATTGTAGATCTACATGAAATATATATATATATATATATATATATATATATATATATATATATATATATATATATATATATATATATATATATATATATATATATATATATATATATATATATATACAACCTCATAAGCCACAACACCACCACTACACACACGGACAGAACGGAGAACACACTCACCATGCTCGGCGTCCTGGAGGCTACTGCCGAAATACATCCCTCCACACCCTTTTTATGCTGAAGGTCTCTCCCTCAGGGTCACGTGACTACCCGGAGGATTCAGCTCAAGCCAACCATCCAGGTGCGAAATGGTCCAAAGCCCTTCAAAGAATAATCTGACGTGTTAGTGCAAGCAATGAAGGCCAGGGGAGAAAGGAACTTACAGTGTACTCCACAGGCATCTTGAGGTAGAAGGACATTGATAATTACAGTAGTGTCTCAATGACACTCAGACGCCTTATAAACCCCATCTTTTTTGCATCATGGGCTAATTAATTCAGTTATGTTACTTTCTCACATCGTCAGACAGCAATTCAAGTGGAAAAATTAGGTCTTATCAGTATCAGCTTCTACGCTGTCAGGGTTTACGTGGCTTTGTATGTAAAACTGCCAAGAGGGAAACTGAAATCAAGATAACAACCTTGACGCAGACAGAGGAAGTTCAACATGCCATTGTCAAGGAGACGGAGAAGAAAGGAAGTGTGGATCACTGTGGATAAATTATTGATGACATAATTAAAAATTGGAAGGTGACTGAAGAGATAATCCTTCTCTTAATAGACCCCTGTCATATTAGACCCCAGTCCTAATAGATCGCTATCCTAATGAGCCCAATCGCTATGAATAAATCAAATTACCTTGAAACATAAGCACTAATGCCCATTTAGCCTGCATCTTGTGGCTAACGAAAACAGTGTTAAACAAACTTGACTCTGTTACCCACTACAACTACTGTCTCTATGGCTGGCTGGACACATTTTAAGGTCATGTTTTATTGTGCATCATAATTCAAGGTTTTCTAGGCTGTATATCATAGCCGCTGTTGATACAAAGATTCTGAATTTGTGTTTGATTTTATTCGTTTCGAGAATTAAGATTCAATAATAATTATCTCAGTCTCCACAGTTGGTAAATCTTAAATTATTTTTTATTTAATTTGTTGGTTATTTCAATGCAAGAAGGAATTATTATGTTCTAAGGCTACTATGATTCTCTTTACTATTAATTGTTTTTACGTGATATGACAACGGTATAATCTATGGTAAGGTATAACAGGTATTTCCCATTAATCATTTCACCAAATTAAAACATACACTTACCTGTCGTTTTCTACGCTACTTACCTTCTCATACTTGTAGACCAAACCATCTTTCACTCATGATAATCACTACCATAACATAAACGTAATTATATTTTGTATTGTAAAATAAATAAATGACTCTACTATCTCAGCGTCAGTAAAGGAAATGATTAAATGCGTATATTTCCCTTAAATGAAATATTGTCATCATTTTTCATCAATAATGTAATATAGACTTACAGTTATTCATCTGTAACATAGTAAGGTGATGTCAGTAGGATAAATCAGGGTTAGATTTATTGAAAGTTTAGGGACAATTTCATTCTTAAATGAGTAACGTGAGAAACATCTACTATACAAAAATAAAAACAGAACTGAAAATAACTAAAGGAGACTATACACTAATTAGTTAAATTCTCTGACCTTAGATTACAAGTAAGATTTACTTTTTTGAGAATAATTTTTTTGAGCCTTTAGATAGGCCTACAAGGTGTGATTTTTTTAGTAAGTTAATAGGATAATCCATATATCCAGCTCATGGGAATATTACCACCCATCGCCTAAGTGTTTCATTCATACAGTCTTACAAGGCACTCAAAAGTTTATGTAAGGGTAAATTTGTCACTTGTATATGGTGATAAATAATATGAAAAACATGAGTGTATTTCGTGTTTACATATCCGTTTGTTTACCTCCATATCCATTTGTTTACCTACATATCCATTTGTTTACCTACATATCCATTTGTTTACCTACATATCCATTTGTTTACCTACATATATATCTGCTTTCTTTTCAATACATTTGCTTGTTTATAATACATTTATCTATTTATCTACATATGTACATATTATTTATCCATTTATCTATATAATTTTATTCAAACAAATATTATCTACAAATACTCTTAACTACATACCTATCAATCTACCAAATAAGTGCATCTATTTATATATCGATCTAAGTATATATTGATGTGTTATTCAGCCAATCTATTCATCTGTCTTTATGTATGTGTAAATATCTATCAATCCACCAACCTGTAATTAAGAATAATATATATTTTTTGTTCTCTAATTAATATTTGAATTAACATTATTTTTTTTGTCAGGGAGAAATACGTGTTCAGTCAAGAGGGATGAGAATCCTTCAACATATGAAACACACATACATACAAATACCTTATACGCTTCCTAAGGACCACACCTGCGGAAGTTCCTGTCAACTCCAGGAAAAAATCGTAGATCAGTGAGCCTTGTGAATACGTCGAGAGGAATGTCGATTTTGAAGTTGAGTTTGGGGAACAGTAAAGTATATGTTATGCTTCAGTACAAAGAAGTAGTATTTTATCTGAAGTTTAGTTGGCGGTTAACTGTTTATGGTACCGGTAGTGGTATGTGTGTCGTTGTGGTTGAGGGAACGGTAATGTCATATGCGGTTGTGGTTGAGGTGCTGAATGTGTCATATGTGGTTGTGGTTGAGATACTGGTAGTGTCATATGTGTAGTTGTGGTTAAGGTACTGGTAGTGTCATATGTGTCGTTAACATAAGAAAATAAGGAGTCTGCAATAGGCCGGCTGGCCTGTGCATGGCAGCTCCTGTCGAGAGTTACTACCACTCTCTATCATCCATGAATCTATCTAGCCTCCTTTTGAAACTTTCCAGAGTTCCCGCACTTACTACAAAGTTGCTAAGATTGTTCCACTCGTCCACCACCCTATTTGTGAACCAGTTTCTTCCTATCTCCCTCCTAAACCTAAACTTATCCAACTTGAATCCGTTGCTCCGAGTCCTATCCTGCTCGGATATTATAAGAACTTTATCTATATCCCCTTTATTGATTCCTTTCACCCACTTAAATACTTCTATCATATCTCCCAGCACTCTTCGTCTTTCTAGGGAATGCAAGTTAAGTTTCTTTACCCTATCCTGATATGGAAGGTTTCTAAGTCCCGGAATCATTTTTGTCATTCTTTGCTGCACCGACTATAGTGAATTTATATCCATTCTATAATTAATAGGGGCACCAGAACTGAACCGCATAATCGAGGTGCGGCCTGACTAGCGCAAGATATAGTTGCAATAAGACCTCTGCACTCTTGTTACTTACACTTCTAGATATAAAACCCAATACTCTGCCTTATTTCGAACATTAACGCACTCTTTTCTAGGCCGTAGGTCCGGGCGTACAAGTGTACCCCTAGGTCTCTTTCACAAGTCGACTTCTTTAGGTTGATGTTGTTAAGGCTGCATACATTGACAGTATTTGTTCTTCCAATATTAAGTACGCTGCACTTGCTGGTGTTGAATTTCATTTGCCATTTTTCAGACCACCCCTGCAGTTTATTTAGATCCTCCTGTAATGCATTTGCATCCTGCCGTGAATTAATCTGCCGCTCTATTTTGGTGTCATCCGCAAATTTGCTTATGTCACTACTGATCCCAGTATCTAGATCGTTTATGTAGATTATGAACAAGAGTGGGCCTAGTACTGACCCCTGGGGACCCCCACTGGTTACACGGCCCCACTCAGATTTAACACCATCTACGCTGACCCTCTGCGTTTTATCAGTGAGCCATGATTTTATCCAATTTAAAACTTTCCCCTCGATACCATGAGCCTTAAATTTTCTCAGAAGCCTCTGATGCGGTACTCTGTCAAATGCTTTGCTAAAGTCTAAGTAAATAACATCGTAATTTTCGTCATTATCTACTACTTCGAAGACTTTCCTAATAAACGTTAGCAGATTTGTTAGACAAGATTTTCCCTTTGTAAACCCATGTTGAGAGTCGTAGATTAATTTGTTTTTCTCTAGATTCGATCGGATGCTATCTGCTATAATTGATTCAAGAAATTTCCCTACTACTGACGTCAAAGTGATCGGCCGGTAATTTGACGCTGATGCTCTGTCTCCCTTTTTGAATATGGGTACTACATTTGCCTGTTTCCACAAGTCTGGCACAACTCCAGTGTCTAATGATTTTGTAAATAAGTTTACGAGGGGTCCTCTAAATTTCATCAGGCCGTGGGGATTTTGTTTTCTTTAGTTTATTTATGTTCTTAAAAACATCCTCTTTTCTGATAGTGATATTCATTAATTTCTCTTCTTCCTTTCCCTTAAATATCAGTTCCACCTCTGGAAATTCATCGCAAATTTCTTTGTGGTTGAGGTACTGGTAGTGTCATATATAGTGAGCGTTATCAGATCAAACTAGCGCCAGTAGAAAAACATACACCCATGAGATTGTTGTTTGTAAATGTGAGACTATGTTATCGCTCCAGGGACTATCTTTGATACTACACTTGATGTTGCTGTCTATATGTGACATCAGCCTCTGTGATGAAGCTTTGGTCTTGGCGGGAGGTGTAATGATTGAATATCAGACCAAAGCTTACAGCCCAGAATTACATCACATATAACAGCAAGTACACTACAGACCTCGTGGTACCACCACATACCAGGTTGACACACCCCAAGACCCTAGGGACTTGAACTCGCCGACTGTTTACTTGAAATAGCGGGTGACCTGACCAAACCTAAGACACACCTAAGAACATAAGAATGGAGGAAACTGCAGCGGGCCTATTGACCCATAATGGGCAGTCCCGTTTATACCCAACCCCTATTGCTCATATAAGCATCCAACCTATGTTTGAAGCTATCCAGCGTATTCGACTTAATGATGATATTTGGTAACTTGTTCCATTCATCCACTACTCTGTTTCCAAACCAGTGTTTACCTATTTCACGCCGAAATCTAAATTTGTCTAATTTAAAACCATTGTTACGAGTTCGCTCCTGGTTGGATAGTTTGAGTACCTTTGTAATGTCCCCTTTGTTTAACCCTGACTTCCATTTATACACCTCTATTATGTCGCCCCTCACTCTACGTCTCT